ATTAAAAACGAATGAAATAAAAAAATCTATTTTTTTTAAAAAATGAAAAGTTAAAAACGAAAAATAAAAAGAAACCCCATACAAATAATGTGGGTGTGTATGTGTTTAGAGAGTAACTTTTCATTTCATTTACTTTTTATCTTTCTTAATCCTCTTTTTAGTTTTAATCCTCCATACAATACAACGTATTATGAAGAAGAACCTATGAAACTTGTTTTCCTCTATTTCTTTATTGTTTTTTCTTTTATTTTACTCGGATCGGTATTTTCTTTTTTAAGAATTTTTTATTTCATTTATTTTTTATATTGTACAAATAATTTTGAATCTTGAAACATTTTTCTGGAAGATATTTTAAAAAGGTTTAAAAAATAAAAAAATAAAAATAAAGAAATCAAAAAGTGAAAGACCTAAAAGTTAATACAATAAACATTAAAGGCAAAACTGAAAAAACACATTTATAGACCGAAGGTCCTCTGTGAGTTATTACAACAAATTTAAATGACATCTATTGTCTTCTTAAAAATAGATTGGTCTGCGTGTTATTTAAACGAAACCTGAGTCGGTCATCTGTGATTAATTTTATGAAATAACGGGTAACAGAAATATTTTATTTTGTCAAACTAATTAATGAAAATACACAAATAAATAAAAGTAATTGTAATTTTAAAATAGTGAATATTGTAATCAATTATGAGACGAAAATACAAAATAGTAGCTAATACAAGTATCTTAAAAGAAATTCGAGTAGCTCAAGGGTGCTTAAATTATATGCATTTGGCCATTAAAAGTAGTGTTCTATTACTTTGACAAATCAAACATCAAAATATTATTTTAGGTATTTCATGTTTTGTGCTAAAACCATGTAGGTCTTGTGTTATTCGAAATACAACGTCGCATTACATCCATACTTTATTTAAAAAGATATGGAGTTAATATTGCGTTTTTCCCGCCCAAAGACTATGACCATTATATATGGTAATGTAAAGTTAAAATGGTAAGTGTCCGAAATTATAGTAATATATAAAATTTACGTTTTATAAATATAATTATTATATTAGATTTATAATAATTAACTGTCATAATTATTTAAAATTACCATTTTTAAACTAAGGAAATAAAATCCGAAAATTATCATTTTTAAAATTTTTCTCCTTTAATGATAAAATTTAAAAGTATTATATTTAATAAGACTGATTATTATTAAAAATGGTAATAATGTAGACCAAAGTAATTATGAATTAAATAAAAAAGGTAATTTCCAGATTTTTATTTCCTTACATTAAAAATGGTAATTTCAGTCTTAATTTTTCTCCTTTAATGATAAAAATTAAAAGTATTATATGTAATAAGACTGATTAGTATTAAAAATGGTAATAATGTAGACCGACGTAATTACGAATTAAATAAAAAAGTTGATTCATTAAGACTGATTATTATTAATAGGCAAAAAATATTAATAAAAAATATTTATAAACTTTAATACACGCCAATCAATGCTATTAAAAACGTGTGTCTGGTTATTCTTACCATAATTATATAATTATATGATTACCGTGTGACTAGGTTATATAAAAAAACGTGTGTATGATTATAGTATAATATAATTATGGTAAGAATAATTATACACACAGTTTCGAAAAAAATTAATATGGTCAAAGCCTTTAAATATATATTTATATTTAAATTTATGTTTAATGGCAAGAAAGGGAATAACCAAAAAATGTAATAATTATTACTCCATGCAATTATTACCTATATAAAATGTAAGTGTCTGAAATTATAATGTCCATTTTCAACCCGTGCACGAAGTATGTCTATTACATATGACAATTGTGAAGTTAATATGATAAGTGTCCGAAATTATAGTAATATAAAATAGTAATTGTGAAGTTAATATAATTATTTTTTTATAATAATTAACTGTCATTTTTAAAGTGTCTGAAATTATACTCTGAAAAAATATAAGTTATAAAATTAGAAAGCGTAATTTTTTATTAAAATTGGAATCTTACGTGTGATTTTCATTATAGTAGTTTTAATTAAAATTGTATGTTATGTTTGATTACCGTGTCAAATTAGTTATAGTAATTAAATATTAATTACTGTATCAAATTAATTATAGTAATACGTGTGATTACCGTATCAAATTAATTATAGTAATTAAATGTTAATTACTGTGTCAAATTAATTATAGTAATTTTAATTATAGTAATTTTAATTAAAATTGTATATTACACTATTAATGAAATCTAATATCACGAGTGACTACATAATTACAAATTAATTACCGTGTCAAATTAATTACAGTAATTTTAATTATAGTAATTTTATAATAGTAATTTTATAATGGCTATATTTTAATTATAGTGGCTATATTTTATAATGGCTATATTTTACTATATTTTAATTATAGTAATTTTAATCTAAAAAGGTAATAATTAACCAAGGTATTAATTATATAACCGTGTGACTACATAATTGTATACTCTGTATTAATTACCGCGTCATTTTAATTATAGTAATTTTAAATGTAATGATCTAAATAATTTAAATATAGTAATAGTAATAGTACTCCACATAAAACATAAATTAATATGGTCAAAGCCTTTAAATATATATTTATATTTAAATTTATTATAGCACTTCGAAAAATGAATAATTTTTTTAACCCCGTATGCAAAAATCATATTATAAATACATCCATTTACAAAGTTTTCATAGTCCTTACATTCATGATGAAGCTACGAGCAGTTAATGATGAAGCTATGAGAAGTTAGGGTTTATTACAGGTTTCCATAACAATAATCCTACATGTTTTAGTCATGGATAATTCTATATTGCAGTTTCAAGAGTAATTAATCGTAGTAGGTTGAAGATTGTGATATGCAATGAAGACAATATTTCCACAAATTGTACGTACAATAATGTAGTCTATAAAGAAGTCTTTCGAAATTTGTAAAACAGTGATGTTTTGTACTTTAAAATAATATAATCTCTATATTCTACTCCCTCCGTCCCAAAATATTTACAACATTTGCTTATCCAGCAGTCGCGGGAATTTTGTTTATTTCTACATTTTCATTGGTTATTTGATAAAATGAAATATTCTTGACACCTCTTATTTTGAAGAACTTTTTATGTAGTTTTTTGATATGTAAATTTTATTTTTTATTTCTATACCAATATGTAAATAAAATAAATTAAAAAAACTTAATATTTTACCTCGGGAATACAAGTGTGGCAAATATTTAGGGACGGAGGGAGTATTGAATCTAATAACATCAAAATGACCCGTGCAACGCACGGGTGTGATACTAGTTTTTCATTAAATCATACAAAGTAATTATTTTTATTGTATTTTTATAAAACATTTCATTTGCTAACATTTTCGATATTTTTCTAATATAAATATTAAATTTTACATTGAATCATTAGTTTTTATTATATCTTAATAAAATCTTTCGTTTTCTAACCATTATTTACTTTCTAATTTAAATAATCATTATCTTGTTTGTCATACAAAAGCCATTATCTTAGATATATAATGATTACCACAGTAGCACTTTTTTGAAATACAAAATTTATTTTATCACATTAAAATTATGGTATACTTTATTCCAAAATCTTAAAATATTATAAAATTTTAATACATTTACTTTATAAAATTAAATTATTTTATTATTTATTTTAACGGCATATCTTCGCTCAAAATGTTTTCTTCATTTTCAATTTTATTATACATATTTTGTAACATTTTAAATTTCAATTTTATTATTCCGTATATATTTTCATACATAAATAATTTATTTAATAAATAGTTTTTAAAATTTTAAAATTCATAAATACTTTAATTTTTTATAATTAAAGAATAATTTAAAAACAGATTTTTTCAAACTATTAAGTTTAAAAAATATTTTATTCTAATACAATAATTTTTGTTTTCAGGAATGCATTACAATGATTAAAATATAAATAAAATAATTATTTTCACTATAACATCTAGGTTAATGATTATTAAATTCGAAAGCAAGAGGTTAGAAAATGAATTGTTTTATTGAAGTATAATAAAAAATAATGATTATTCAATGTAAAATTTAATATTTCTTCTAGAAAGCGAAAAATAACCAAACATGGGGTTTAGAGAAAGTAAAATATAAATAATTACAGAGTATTATTTAATGTAAAAATAATACAATTGTCCCTGGAATATATATTTTAAATAATGTTGGATTTACGGGTTCTTATTAAAAACGTGAGGTACTATAGAGTAATTATGTTGTGTCTGACTAATCAAGATAATAGAAAGTCCATTATTAACTGCTAAAATGATGACATTATCACAAATTTTAAATGCTTCATAAGTGTATTTCAGATAATACGAGACTTGCGAGTTTTTAGTAGAGAATGTGAGATAATCCAAAGTAATTTTTTGTCAAAGGCGACTTGTAACATGTAAAGTTTTGACTTGTGACAAACACCAACCTAAGGCTTTCTTCTAGAAGAACTTTTTCAATTAGGGTTGTTGTTTTGAATGATTTGTAAATGTACAAATTAATTTTCAAGTGCTAAACAACTATTTGGCCACTAATCCAACGTTTAACTCTATCCTTTTCAGAAAATAATCTAACGATGGCTTCATTTGAATAATGTTTGTGTTGAGCGTTGATGTTTTTGTTAATTTTTTAATAGTGCAGATTTATATAAAAAAGGCTAACGCTAAAAATTATTGTTAGATAACATTTTCTAAAACATTGGAGACAAATGTTGAAGTTAAAGATCAATAACATTTATTTTAATGTTTCAAACATAATTTGCATCGTTAAAAAATTATATTAAACCTATTTTAAATGACTTTCACCCGTTCAAGTGACATTGAACTTCAATGTCATAGAATGACCCTGGGTACTTACGGTGCTCTGTTTGAAAAATTGATGATCTGTATCCTCTCTTGATAAATCCTCCTACCCTGGTCCGACCCGACCCCTCTACCCCCTGTAACACCCCAATCCGTATAACCCAGAATTTTACGAATTAAGGTGAAACGAGAGTTAATTCAAAATTTCGCTTGACATTTGAAAATGACAATTTCTTATAAATATCAAATTTACAGACTCTGGATCGCGACCCATTTAAAAAATATTTTCAAAGTAATGCGGAAGTATAATAATAATCAAATCATGACACATTTTAAAATCTGATGATCAAACATTTGTCTGCCATCCTTGCATCTCCTCTGACTCAATGCCCTCCGGGAATGGTTCCATCATTGTCTTCTTGTTACCTACGTGTAGTCAACGAAAAATACAAAGTACACGCTCAGCGAAACCGCTGAGTGGTACCACGCTAGAATTGTAGAATGATTCACAGACATATACATATACATATATATATATGTCCACATAATGTATAGTAACATTCATGATATGACACATATTATCATATGGTCAATTTGATGAATCATGATGATAAATATTTAATGATAATTACATGATGGCACATTTAATCAATTTGCTTGTGAGGATGATTACATGATACCAATGTAATCAATATACTTTTTCTTGATGATGATTACATGACACCTATGTAATCAATGTAATTGTACTTGATGATGGTAACATGATGCATGATCCTATAACTTGCAAGGACACCCTTGCGCTATGAGATTCGCCCATTTGGTACGACGAACTCACGCGGCCTTAGTCTCACGAATGAGGAGAGACTAGAAAAATAGGGGTGGTACTCGAAACCTGAATACCATGTACGTACACTAAGCCCGGAACGGGTGATGTCGGACTGCTAAGTCCCGCACATCACGCTATAAGAGACGCAATTACGCATGATCTCTTACGCATGCATATGATATGATATGCTACAATATGTGTGATGATATGAGTCATATGATATGAACAATTTGTAAACAATATGAATGGATAAATATACTTTATTTTATTTGGGTGAAATCTGATAAAAATATCTTTTAATTAAGCTACGGGGCTCGGAACGGTGGACCGTTTAGCACGGCGGTCGACCGTGCTATATTTCAACTCGTCGGATTTCTGGATCACCGTGACGGTCGACCGTGGTTGACCGGCGGTCGACCGTTGTTGACTTGTTGGAACGGCGGCGTTCTGCTGGGCTGGCGACGGTCGACCGTTCACCGACGGCGGTCGACCGTTTTGCTGACAGTAGTGGTCCGTTTCGAAGTTTAATATGACGGTCGACCGTTTGTGTCAACCGTTTGGGTCTGCGAATCTTTCTCTTGATATTTTGAGTGTCCAAAATACTTCTTTAAGTCTTTTAAACATCTTTTATTAATCTATACATATTGTTGGGTTGATTTCCAAAGTTTATATTTACTTACGTGTATATTAACTTTATGGATTGGTGTATTTTGATCTGAACATATAGATGACTTATATATGCATCACATATATATTTTGGGATGGTTTCAACATATGGATTAATATATATGTTCGTGTACGTATGTAATGAATGATTCGACAAGTCTAACGCAAGGGTACAGACCTGGAAATCATTGGCCGAAACCTTACGGATGAGCGGGAGTGGAAACAACATCGAAATTCACCAACTTTGTCATTTCCGTCACAACTGGATAGCCTGCGGTAATTTGGGCATATCTCCATCGTTTCTTCACGGAATTGCAAACCGTTTGATTCTGTGGATTCCTAAGATGTAAGGCTACAACTTTCGTACAGAAAGTATTTCGTTTTAACATATGTAAGATAGCGTAAATCGGACCTAAAGTCAAGGGATAGTTGCTGTCCAGAATTTCGGGTATGTCGATGAACATGATTCCGACAATTAACTCACTAACTTCAATATTTCAACACCCAACCTTCTCTATGATACCTTCCGGATGTTCCTAATAATCGTTAGAGAGTTTATGGTAAGTGTTTGGAATGAAACAACATGGATATGGTGAGGAAACATAGCCAACCCGAGGAGCTCGCCACCACTGGCGCAGTCCCGGTATTTTGGCCATATCTTCTTCGTTACTTAACGAAATCACGAGCCGTTTGTTGGGCTGGATTTGTATCGTCCGGGGCTACAACTTTGGTTCAGAAATAATTTCGAGATAATAGATGGAAAATTTCAGTTTTTACCTCAAAGTGGACTGATGTGTTATGGTTTCAGGATTTTGAGACTTTATGGTTTTCTTCTTGCTTCTGCTTCTTCCTCCTTAGTATACAACCATGGAGCATTGATGTTTTCTTCTCCTTCTTTGGGCTGCCGACAGAGAGAGAAATGGAGAGGAGAATTGGATGAATGATGGTGGATGATGGTGATGGTGTATAATGATGATAGTGGTGGTGGAATTGTGTAGGAAAGGGTTGAGATTTGGAGTATTATATAGATTTAATGTATTATTAAGTAGTGGAGAATAATGGGGTGGCTAGTGGAGTGACTTACTTGATTGGGGAGGGATTTTAGAATATTAGTTTTGGACTTTTGTCCAAACTGAACAGTTTACTCCAAACGGTACGCGCTTTTTCTCCCAAACTGCTCCGAATTGAAAACGAATTGTATTTTTGGAATCAGACTGTCAAAACTAGAATTTTGACGTAATCAAAATATTTTTCTGAGAACTATTATTTTTCTCAGTGTCCGGGTCTGTCTCAGTCATAATTTAATATAATAATATGAATGAGATAAAAATATATGAATTAAATCCAAATGATAAATATGATATTGTCAAGTGTCAAAATTATGATTTCTAATCTGATGAAATCACTTTTGAATTTAGTTTATTTTATGGGTCAAAGTTACAAATTTTACTATTTAAAATTGACATAACTTGAAATCTACAAATCAGTTTGGTTTATAAAATGTACCGTTGGATTCGTCTCTTCGAGACATATCCATAAATATAACTTTTTTAACAAAAAGTCATTATTTTGAAAATCCATTTATTTTTAGTCAAACGTACAAATATTCCTTATTGGATAAAAACTACTTTTGTTTTATAATAAATTTTAGGCCATATTTTGTGGCGTTACACCCCCTCCAAAGTCTACTAAATTTTGTGGGGTGCAATTGGAGGGGTAGAGGGGTCAGTTTGGGTCGGGCCGAGGTAGGAGGTTTATCGCGAAGTAGGGACCATCAATTTTTTAAACGTAGCAGCGTAAGTGCTGCAATCGATGACTAATGTCACCCAAACCTCCTTAAGAGCAGGGGAAATACGTGCAACGCCCACCGGCATCAAGCAAGTTTTTAACGCCCGGGGGTGTTAAACACCGCCCCCCTAGGGCTTGGAAGTGGCGTCATTCCTTTGGCGTCATAACTTTGATGCAGCCTCCCTCCCCCCTAACGGCTAAATTAGTCGTTGCAACAAAAAAAATTAATTATTTTTTTTATAAATTTCAAACTCCATCACCTCCAATTCTCACACCTTTCAATCTCGAATTCTCATCAATCTTCTTCAATTCTCCAACTCTTTTTTTAACATGAATCCCTCCGGCTTTTTCCCCGACAATCTCGAGCCTAACGAACACGCCATGTGGATCTTCCAACAATACAGGAGTAATCCAACGATGTTCGAGATGCAACCATTGTGGTACGTCTATGAGCGAGAGTCGGTTCCGGAGATTCAACTGGAACCATCCGGCACCAAAAAAAGTGCACGCCGGAAGAGCCTCAAGCGATGACCGAGGCAGCACGGTCAGTCCAAAAGGCACTCAAGCGATGACCAAGGCGGCACGGTGAGTCCAAAAGTGGATGCCGGAGGAAGAGTGCTTGTTGGCGTCGGCTTGGGTTGAAGTCTCCGAGCATCCTATCGTTGGTAAAAATTATATGTTTTCTAATATATATGTGTTTTTATTTATATAATCGTGTTATATATTTGTGTTAAAAAAATTTGTGATATACTTTTTAAAAGTTCGGAGCAAACGAAGGATGCGATGTAGGATCATATCGAAGAGATCAGAAGTTCTTTGCAGTGATGAACAAGGACGGCTCCTACCGTACGCGGGACCAACTCACTTCCGAATGGAGCCACATCAATCGTAAAGTCCGAAAATTTATCAGAGTTTACGAGGAATGCGCCCGGTCGTGGAGGAGCGGGACGAATGACGCCGATGTTCTCCGGCTTGCCACGGCCTGGTATCAAGACGACGGACACCAAGGCAAGGTGCCCATCGATCTTTGGAGGATTTTGAGCCGTTCACCGAAGTGGCAACAACTCAACAATTCCGACGCCGGATCGTCAAAGAAAAGATCCTTCGTCGACACCGAGGTTGAGGTCGATAACACTATCGGTTCGTCCGAACAAAGGCCTTCCTTCAACGTTGCGGATTCCAATGACGAGGACCCCATTCCCCGATCGGAAGAAAGAAGCAAAATCCATTGCCTTGGGTTCTAGAGGGTCCGGGTCTGTTTCCGTTTCTTCTCACGACGATATCGGTCGGACAATGGTTGAACAACTTCGGATGTTCAATATTCGAGAAGAAGATAGGGCGAGGAGGAAGCAAGAGAAGGAAGAAATAGAAATAATGGAAACCGACCTTGATACGTTATTGGGGTTCAAACGTATGATCTTCGAGAGAAGACAAAAGGAGATCAAGGCTAAATATATTTTACCTTAGTTTTTTTATTAATGTATTTTTTAAATTATTGTCGCTTTAATTTTTTTAAATTTCATGAATGTAATTTTTTTATTATTGTCGCTTTAATTTATTTTAATTTAATGAATGTAATTTTTTTTAAATTATTTTTGTTTACAAAATAATTAAATAATTAAATAATTGAAATTTATTATTTTAAATTTAGAAGATGTATATTTAAAAATGTAAAAAATGAATGTTTGAAGCCCCTGTTTGAAACCCCCGGGTTTCAAACCCATTTCCATTGAATCTGTGAGGTAAGTTAAAGCTGACGTGATAGAGAGAGAAATTGGGCTTCACGGGTATTTCCAGAGCCCTAATGACTTTTCCCAAATAGGGCATCTGAAATTAAAATTGTCAGTTTTTATAGGGAAACCTTTCTGTTAAAATTCCAAACTGCCTGAGATCATCACACTTTCTGTATCTCCTTTTTAAAATTCTGAGTTTCAAGAGTTCCTTTTCCATATTCATAACGTAAAAGTTTCTCCCTTCCAAGAAGGATTCATCTGTGTTGATTTTCGTTTCCTTAAATTCTTTATAATAATTAAAAAACTTGTCTTCTTAAGGTGAAAACCCAAATCTTGGGTCCGGAATTGCGTTCATTTGATCTGAAATTAGATTTCTTTCAATAATTTTCCTGCCAATGGTGCGTCATTAGGTAAATCCCCCCCAGATTTCAATAGAATGGTTGAATTGGTGCAAGTTATTTGATAGTGATCTGCCCAGAGAAGTTCATGATTCATGATAATGGGGGGTATATTAACCAGTTTATGTTTCTTTCCCAAGGTTTGTCTAATTAACCACTTCTGGCATTTTATTACATGACTTTTTTCTTATTGTTACATTGCATTGCTTGGAATAATCTGTTTTGAATTTTGCAAATAAACAAATTCAAACAAACCCATTATATCCCACTTAATTGTCTTCAGAATCTTGCAAATAATCTACAGGAAAAAATACTCATGAAACAGAAATTTAAAGAATATATTCTTTACAAAATGCATAAAAAGGGTTCAATGCAATTTGATGTTATGTTTCTATCCTTATGGTTTTCAAGCAGCATCGTATCAATACATTAGACATTCGTTGAATCAAAAATACGAGATAATTTGTTCTTTTTAAACCCTGAAAATGAACGAAAACTTCATGGTTATTCTATCATTGATGAATGCCACTTTTAGAATTCTCCAACGACTCATTGGTTTACTTTGGTATCTGTTCCAATGACTTGTGTTTTGGAATTGCAGTTTTGGTCAAGGAATGATGATGATGATGACGACGATTCATGCTGTAATGTTGATTTTTCAGGAGGAAATGTAAACCTCATTACCTCAATAGAATGTTGGGAGCGGAAGATTGAAGAAGCACGGAAAGATAACAAAACTGTAACCCTCTCTTACATTGCATCTCGATGGTCTCTTTTTGTACCAAACTAGCTAGTGTCATTTTGGAACTTGCGGGCAGTTTAAAAATAATTAACGAAGGAAAATAGCAATTTATTCGCCCAGTTGCTTGACACTTCGTGACCCGGGATTTATATTTTTAATTTTTTACAAACGTAGTCCGTCAATAGTTAGAACTTCAGATAAAATTAGTGTCTTCTACTAAAAGCACCGTTTAGTATTAGAGTTCATGTTGGCATTCTTGGCAATATGTAATGCTAATAATGCCTATAAAAACTCTAATGTCAAACGGCGAGTTAAACACATCGCCAATCATACACAGTGTCAAGCAATTGATGGATTAAAATTGTGATTTTCCCACTAGTGAATATATATTAAAGCAATTGAACCCAAGAGAAATTTGAATTAATTCTGTGCAGAAATAGTAACTTGGTACATTAACTTTGTTTCCGGATGTTTTATCTGTAATATACGCTATGTTATTTCTATGCATATTATATGTTTCATGCTTCTTAAGTCATTCAACTGACTGCAGGTGATTGCGAACTTTAGCGCCTCATGGTGTAGTCCTTGTAAAACGATAGCACCATTCTACTGCGAGCTTTCTAATAAACAGCCTTCTCTGATGTTTTTGGTGGTCGATGTCGATGAGCTTAGTGTAAGTACACCACTCCTTAAAAGTTAAAACAGAATGTGTATGAAAATTTGGTACACAGAATTGCGGCAATGGAATAGGAATTAGAGACTTCAATTATGTTTGAATTGGTAGCACGAAAATGTGGACTGGAATTGAATTCTAATTCTAAATTTTCCGTATCAATTTTAAAAATATGTGGATTTGGTAGCACAAAAATATATGGATGTGAATTTGGAATCATAATACAATTTCATATCAATTCCATAAATAATTTGTGTTACCAAATAAAGGATTGGAATTATAATACAATCATATGTCAATTTCTTAATTAGTTAATTATACCAAGCAAAGGGTTTGGAATTGAATTAGAATTCAATTCTATCCAATTCAATTCTATAGATTTTTAATTCCAATTCCGTGTACCGAACCGGGCCTTAGTGAATTTAAAATACATCCCTGAAAGGAATAAGTCTAAGTCCAATTGACCACGATAAGCCTGTTTGTATGGGCTGATTTTTTTAAATTACAATCCTAAAAGGTCCCATAAGTGGGTCCGAGGACTTTCGCGCGTAGACCGTACCATACATAAAAGTTATAAATATAGAGTGCATGTTTTCGTATGACCCTTAGCTCAAGAACACAAAACCATTTTAGAACAATCAAATTTAAAAGATCAAGAGTAAGGATAATACAACTACAAAATCGTCCCTTTTTTCTATTTTTGCCTGTCACATTACCTTTTTCCATTCCAAATTTGCCATTTTTGGTGGCTCAAAATCATTCGTTTTTTATTCATACTTTACATAATAGTCAATGTCAACTTCATAAATTCACTTTTCTTTAATATATGTGTCACTTTCTCATGTCCTAAAGATAGTGTAATAGAGGGAGTAAGGTTGTGTTCTGTTTGCCTGATCTGATCTAATTTTTGAAGTTCTGATCTAATTTGGTCTCGTCTGACCTGATTGGATTTGATCTGATCTAGTCTGATCTCATCTGATTGGGCCTAATCTGATGTGAATTTGATTAAAACTAAAATTAAAATTTTTATTATAACAGTTATAATACGAGTAATAGTTATAATAATAATAACAATAGAAATAGTAATAATAATAATAGGAATAGTAATAATAATAACTACAGTATAATAATAATAACTATAATAATAATACTAATAATAATAGTAATAATAATAATAGAAATATTGATAATATAAATAATAATAATAATAATAATAATAATACTAATAATAATAGTGGCAATAATAGTAATAATAATAGTAGTAGTAGTAATAATAATGATAATAAAAATGATGATGATGATGATGACGACGACGATGATGATAATAGCAATAATTTTGTTTAGATTTGGTCTAGTCTGATGTGAATGAATCTGATCTGGTCTGATCTAATCTGATTTTAATAAGAATAAATAATAAGTAGAAAAAATAAGTTGAACGGAGCGCTGCTTAACATGAAGGTAAAAGTGGCACAAAGTTGTACATGGAGTTCAAGCGTAGTAGTATATTCTATGTATCTCAAGGTGTCTCCTTCATTTAGAAACAAAGATTATGAGTTGTTTAATTTGCATTTCAGGACTTGAGTTCTTCTTGGGACGTCAAAGCGACCCCAACTTTCTTTTTCATCAGGGACGGAAAGCAATTTGACGTACTCCTAGGGGCTAACAAGGCAGAGCTGCAAAACAAGATAACAGCCATAGTAGACTCACAGACGCCATGCCACACATAGCCGTTTTCCAGATGTGGTCATGAGTGACATGGAATTTCCGCATCCTTTTTTGCGTGCGTATGTAACTGCACCTGTAAATGCAACTACTATATACAGAGTACTCCCTCTGTCCTATATTTTTCTTCTAATTAGACTCTTCTTGGTCAAACTCTATTAACTTTGACTATGAGATGTGGAAAAATTCCAAAAGCTATATGTGTGTGTATAGATACATGCATGCATATATACATACATACATACTTATTCACACATTTGGGATGGACTTGTATTCACTTCTTTGTTGCCTTGTGAAGCAGAGTTGGGTGACCTTCAAATTTAACATTGCAATGCAACTGGAAATATTTTATCTGTCACATTGAAGATACATACATTGTTCTTTTTCTTTCAATGAAAAATTGGTTGAATACCGCTCACTGCTCATTGTATTGTTTCTTTACCTTCACCACTTCATTCCTTCTGGTTTGGTTAATCGCTTGAACAACGTTATGGGCTTATGGCTTCACACCCAATTCAATGGAATGTGCCAAATCCATCATTCCATTACCATACTTAAAATTTTCCTCCCTTTGTCCCTTTTTGGTGCTCAATTTGATGTCACACTGTTTAAAACTTATGCAATATTCTTCAAACAAGTGTTGCTTCCCATCCCTGAAAGTCCCCGTTTGGGTCCTTGGAGATGTCGCGACACCCAAATTCTTTGTAAAATTTAGAAAAGTTGGTGTTAATACATGTCCCTGCCTCCGTGTAACTTAGTTTAAAATGTGAAAAATATGGGGTTAAAATCTAATGAGAAGAGGTAAATGTTATGATTCATATTAGCCTTTTCTTTAAAAGGAAATTTATATTTATTATGTCTCCAAGTAGATGTAGATTCATCTATAGTGAGTAAATATTCTAAACCACAAAAATAGAAAACAAGAGTCAGAAAATCACTTATAGTTTCAATAATATGAACAAAGGCTATATGCAAGTGAATGAAAATGGCAGCAAAATGTAGAGTAAGATCATAAGCAGCCAAATATGCATCTTTTAATAATCTCTGTTGGTGAAGCTGAACCTGGAAAGGACAACCGCAGCTTGATCCCCACCTAGCAAGAAGTAAGGATGCCTCAGAGCAGCCGAAGCAGACAACCGGCCTCGCCTGAGCGGGCCCCTCTCTGAGACGAGCTTCGTAGCAAGATCCCACCCTCTTCCAGAGTCAAGATCAAGAATGCTCAAATCATGCCTTGATCTGCTGCCGCTCCTTTCCCTCCACGTATTCAACTCGTACCCTGCCTGTCTCAACTCCAGGTTGAACCTCTTTAGACCTGTCAAGGACCTCAAGCTGGGTATCGCCATTTGCAGAAGAACTATCCCAGCTGAATACATGTCAAAAAGATCTGGACTGTTCAGCTGCAAACAGAAAACGCAGAATCATTGGTTCTAGCTAGAAAATGGCTTTATTGCTATAGCATTGCCCTGTTTTTCCCTTGCTATGCACTTTATATTTGTATTCAGATTATTCCAACAGCGCGTAAAGTATGAGTCTCGATCATAAGGTTAGAAAGTCTAACTCTGTAAGTGAATATGGGTACTCTTCTGATGTGGAATCGTTAGTGTATAAAATCTTTCTTAGGCCTGCAAACCTAACTAGGACCAAAATATGCTTCATATACCAAAATAGGATCTTCAGTGCTTTTATACCAAAATAGGACTTATAGTGTCAAATAGTGCCAACACATAATGTCCAAAAACACTGAAATGTCAATGCATAATGCCAAATGATGGCATTTCACAATGCCAACACAAATAGGAGATAAGAACATAGGTCTTATTTTCGTATAAGTTACATGTTTTGGTCTAATATAGGTAGATTTATTTTGATTCATTAACATGGTATTCAAGCTTTGCCTGACCTAAGAGCCACCCAGTTATGAAAAAATAAATGTACATGTGTAATGCTTGAGCAAAAACAAATTTTGCATTCACGTTAGGGGTCGTGTTAGAGTGTAAAACCTTTTCTCGACCTAAAACCACAAGTTTGACGTTTTGGTTGAGTTGGCAACTTGACAACAACATTAATTAATGATACCTGCCATAAAAATGGGGAAAGAAGCGCAGCAATGGGCTCTGGAGGAGGCTTTGGGGTTTCTTCGGGCATTACAAAGAGTTCGGGAGGGCAATAATCTGGATCAAGAAGGCCTCTGTTGGGGACATAGTTTTTCCCAATCCTGAGATCAGTTGCTGCTCCAAAATCAATGAGCTTGATTTTCCCCCTCTTCGCGATAACCACCAAGTTGGATGGCTTCACATCTCGGTGGACAATCCCCGTGTCGTGAATCTTTTTCAGACAGGTGATTATCTGTCTCATTATTTGCTTGATTATTAGCGCGTTTCGTTTGTTTGAATCCATCCCTTGTAAGACGCGACCAAACATTGCAGACTCTAAGTTCAATGGGAAGTTTCTATCTTTCATGTAATCACCCAGGTCCCTATCTCCCTACAACACCATCAAATTCTATACACTTTTGAAGACTGTGGGTAAAGAGTGTTATTTTCTTCTTCTAAAAACCAAAGTCTTTTCTTCTCTTTTTTTTTTTACCTCAAATCTCCAGACAAGCCATTTCTCACCCTTTGTGAACTGTGAAGTGGTTTTCTCTGCAATAAAGCTTCCAAGAAACTTGGCGCACGTCTCTGGTGCAGCTCTCGACAGCCTGTAGTTGAACCATTCTTCAAACTCGCCGCATTCAACCGCCCCTTCAACCCCTAGTTTTACCTATTGGATTAACACACGAAAATCAAATCTGCAAAAAGGACATAAATAAAAAATATCATAGCTTTAGATGTTGCACATGCCTTCTTAAGGATGACCTTTTCTTTGAAACTTGGATCATTGGCCAAAGCTCTTTGGCTTCTTCTTTTCTTGACAATTTCTTCAAGGGCTACATTCTTGGGAAGAAGCACGCCATAGTAAACAACGCCGAATGACCCTTCTCCGATTATGTCCCCAACCAAGAAATCTGTCATCTTCAATCTCCGAGTCCCGCTCAAACTGTCAAACCCAGCCTGCAGAGGGGCGAGAATGTAGGCATCAATGGCGCCCAGAAGGACACCTGGCCTAGCAGTCAAGTACACCCAAGTTAATCCGGCAAAAACAAGCAAACCCCATTTCTGCCCTTCTGGCAGTTCCTGGGTGACCCGGAGAAACTGGGGGTACCCGGGGAATTGGGACAGAGAGAGGCTTAATTGTGAAGGGATTGCAGAGAAATTGTCTGAAATGTCGTCAAAGAATGCTTTGAGAGAAAAGGGGTTTCTCTTGGAGGAGGGGGGGAGGAGGAGGATTGGGGGAGTTGATGTGGGGTTTGATGGGGAGAAAAAGCTAATGGGTTTAGGGTAATTTTGGCTGAGAGTAGTTGCCGCAGGTGGGGAGAAGAAGAAGAAGGAAGCCATGAGAAGAAGAGTGATCTGCTGTCATCTGGGCAAGAATCTGTCTTTCACTCCTCGGGAAGGGCCATATTTCCTCCACATGGAACCAGTGGGGATTAGAAGTTCATTATCCACTACTATAGGTGTTCATTCCTATAAAACCGAACCAAATCGAACCAAAATTACAATAAAATAATTTTTGTACCGAATCCCGAATCATAATACATCGGTTAGATATGACTAATATCGAAAATATTTCAGTTTGGTAATTGATACGCGATACAAAAAAAATTGAACATTGTATTTTATTTTCATCTATAGTTCACTTTTTTATTTTCAATTTATATAACTAGTCATCTCAACCAAAATTTAGAAGATTAGAAATACTCGATATTTTTTAGTTATAGTCAGTCATAAATTACTTAGTTTTTCATATTATTAAAAGATTATCGAAGCACACAATTTCAATCTTGTAAAAAAAAATACTGCAATATAAAATAAGAAATCAAAACACAAAAAGTTAAAATGAAAAACAAACAATGCAATATAAAGAGTACTTACACACACATCTTGCACAAAAAGTATTTTATCAAAATGTTAAAAAAGATCTTACCTTCAGTCATCGGTAATTTATAGTCTTACGAAGTGAGGTTGATGGGAAATAATACGTGGCTCGGCCCACATTTCCTAATTATTTACGAAGAACAGTTAAACCGGACATGTTTAATAAAATAGAGGAATAAGAGAATATTCTTCCGTAGATGCTCTCACCCTCTCCTATAAAAGGGATGGTTGCCCTAATTGTTGAGGGGGGCAATTCACACTCTTCACTCCTTCCCTGCCCATTTACTCTCTCTCTCTAGAAAGCTTGTGTATATTTTCTTCTTCTTCAAGAGCTCAAATGCTCCATTAATGGCTTCTAGCCTAAATCATGTACCGTGTACACACCCCCGATATTAATAAAAATCCCCCGTTGGCAAGGTACCGCTAAAAAAGGCCCGTGGTTTTCTCCCGATTTGGGTTTCCACGTAAAAATCCTCGTGTTTATATTTTGGTGTATTTTTTAGACTAGTTAATCGTTTTAGCCGGGCTAAAAACGATATACCGGTCGATAATTTACACCATCAGAGATCAATGAATTTGTCATTTAGAACAAACGAAACAAAAATCGAAGAATATAGTGTCAAATAGTATGTCTAAGAAAATTTAACTAGATATGAAGTATTTTTTAGAAATTAGAGTTGTGAATAATAGGAAGCTAAAAGGATAAGATAAGGTATGCTACTATATGTGTGGCTAGGACTCAAGGTTAGAATTCAAAGTTCAATTTAAAATAATAATATGGAGTAATCATTCAGTATTCGGTAAAAATCGAATTACCGAATTATTAAGTGACCGATTTATAGAAAAAAGAAAAATCGATTATCAAACCGAATTATTTGGTTTGATTTTGGTACGTATCAAAATTTTAGTTTTGGTACGGTTTGATCAGTTTGCCGAATTGTGCACACCCTTAACTCGTATTAGATAAATGTGAAATTGGTTAAATGGAAAAAAAATTGCACATCTTAAAAATGAATAAAAAAGTAATTCCGTCATTTTAAAATTTTTCCTCAATCGTTATTACTTCTTTCGTCTAACAATAATCTATCCACTGCGGGTTACAATGTTTTAATTAAAATTATTTTCAAATTATTTTATATGTAAAATGGCGTGGAATTAAAAAAATAAAAATTACATATTTAAAAATTGTATGAAAAAATCTACAAAATTAGAGGTGATATGATTATATTTGATGGGAAATAATACGTGGCTCGGTCCACATTTCCCAATTGTTTACGAATAACAGTCAAACCGGACATGTTTATTAAAATGGAGGAATAAGAGAATATTTCTTCGTAGATGATCCAGCTACTCCTATAAAAGGAGGGCTCCCCCTCAACGTTAAAGGAGGCCAATTCCCTCTCCCCACCCATGAATTCTTTTTCTCTCTCTAAATTATATATTCTTTTCTTCTTCAAGAGCTTCTAGCTCCACCATTAATGGCTTCTAAGCCTAAAACATGTACCGTGTACAACCTCCTGATATTAATAAAAATCCCCCGTTGGCAAGATACCGCCAAAAAAGGCCCGTGGTTTTCTCCCGATTTGGGGTTCCACGTCAAAATCCCCGTGTTTATATTTTGGTGTATTTTTTAGACTAGTTTATCATTTTTGCCCGGCTAAAAACGATATACCGGTCGATAATTTACACCATCAATATTATTTTACGAAATGAGCATCGAAAATTCATTTTTATTAAAAGTTGTCTAATCAAATGAAAATGTTCTATTCTGAAATTTCTTCACCATCTTCCGAGAGTTTGTCCCTAGTCCAAGATGTTTTACACTAGCCGTTACTCGGCGCTTCCTTTTTTTCAAAAATTGAAATGTTTTCACCACCTCTTTCTCTACAAAAGACCGAAAACAGAAAAGATATTCCCACGAACAGACAAAACTAATCTCCAAAATTAAAAAAAAATGTTGGCTCAATCTCCGGTCGCTGCAAATTCCATCCAACGCCCCAAACCCGCCGCCGGGCGGAAGCCTCTCCAGCCGACGAACTCCCCGGCGAATAGACCCCCGGTCAAAGCAATCAAGCCCAAGTTAAAACCCGACCCAATCGAGACTTTGCCCACACAGAGTTCAAACAAAGAGAACGTGCATCCCCTGCACGCGCCGCCGGCGGGGAAAACGGGAAAGCCTCCCGGCGAGGTCGAACTCCGCGACTCCTCGCTTGCGGACGAGCTCGGCGCGATCCGCGAGAAACTGGAGCGGCTGAGGATCGACAAACAGATGACGGAGAAGATGCTCCGCGAGAGAGACGAGGCGATGGATCTGCGGATGAAGGAGCTGATGAACAGAGGAGAAATTCAGAAGGAGCTCGAGCTCGAAGTCGATCGGCTCTTCCGATTGAACGAGCTCCGGATCTCCTGTACGGTAAGGACCCGATCGGTTCTTCAAAATTCGATCGTCGATTGAAAATCCAGGTGAAAATTAATGATCAGATTCACGAGATTGCTTTAAATTTGCAGAAAGTATTGCCGATTCGGTCGCTTCGAGACAGGGAAAACGAGAAGAAGGAGAAGGAAGATCAAATCAAGGCAAGCGATGAACTCCGACCATAAATTCATTTATTTTGTTCTTTTTTTAAAATTCATTTTAGATCAGAAATTGATTTTTTTTTCTGTAAGATTTGGTATCAGGAGGCGGCGGAAACCGAAGACGAGGAAAGATTACAGGGTAGAATTGCACCTTCAAGCCCAAGTTCAGATCTTGATTCTGAGAACCGAAAAGAAGAAGATGGCTAAAGATGGTATAAATCACCAGACTAAAACACAGGGAATAAGACTTAGCATATTTTTTTCCCGACTTAGCCCGGTGGTAACGTGACAGTGTATATGTGCACATTACTATACTTTTTGGTTTGTATATGACCATGTTTGGTAATGTAAATACATTTTAAGTCTTATTTCAAGAATAAAAATATGGAGGTTCTATTTTGATATGTTTTAAATGATTTAATCTTATTTTGGTCTTTCATACTAAGTCCACATACAGTTAGTATTTGTATCTCTACAAATTTACCGATGATGTCATCTATATTGTTAACATCTTGTTATAATCCTCGACCATGCTACACTTACACAAAAAAATTAGTTTTACACCAACACAAAGTGTTGGTGCAAAACTGCGGGGTACAAACCTTGGGGTACACATAATCCTAGCATTTTTGTTTATTTAATAAGAATTGTACAATTATAGTTACTAGTTAGATTATTTTAAGGGAGAAATACGAATATAGCACTTTAATAGGCTTATAATACGCAAAATAGCAGTGCTATAAGTTTTTGAGATAAATTCGCAATATTACCCTTAATTAAACAAATTTGTATTATATATACACTGCCACAGTATATACACTGCCACAATATATCTACACTGCCACAATCTATACACTGCCATAATTTTCGCCACAATATGTACTTCCAAAAATTCAATGTTTGAAATACACTGCCACAATATATGCACTGTCAAACATTCAATGTCTGAAATACAATGCCACAATATATACACTGCCACAATATATCTACACTGCCACAATTCGGGCAATCACAGAGCATACTTCTCATAGTTTCTAAGAAAATATTTTAGTTTGTTTATGAAGAAAATTAAATAAATATACCTTCTGAGAAGAACAAGGATTCTGAGATTTTTGAGCAAATTCATGCTGATAACGTGTTGTAAAATGAGAGAAAAACTACTCAGAAATTAAGAGAATAGATATAATATAATACACTGCCACAATATATACATTGCCATAATGTTAGCCACAATATGTACTTCCAAAAATTCAATGTCTGAAATACACTGCAACAATATATGCACTGCCAAAATATCAATGTCTGAAATATAATGCCACAATATGTCTACACTGCCAGAATATATCTACACTGCCACAATATAAAGCTTCCATGAGTATCCCATGTCCCATCAACACGTAGCAATATCGTCAAATTTGGACCCATCTGTGATGCTCCTTTTAAATAATAAAAGAGAAAATATTCAATTAAATTAAATAAAGGAATGAACTCAAAGAATAGACGTATAACCTAATATGCGATGAAAATGCTGGATTTAATGGAGGTGGTGAATACAAAAACACATCGTATATATATACATGATAGGCGTTTTAGTCACATTGCAAACTTCAGAATATTAAACAAATACAAATTAATCTCACCTTTCTGCATGTGTGCAAGTTTTCGACCGCCGTTAAAAAACTAAGNCAGGATTTTTTGAAAATACATATTTTTGGAAAATAAATGAAAAGTCGGATTATTTTAGGTAAATTTATTTTTTAATTTTTTGACATGCAAAATTTTTTTAAGGATAAGAACCAAATTCAGATATTTAGGATCAAGGAAATAAATAAAACTAAAAATGCAGGACAACATTTAGGCATTTAATCTTCACACTGCCCACACCATAGCACATAATCTTAACACTGCCAAAATCACAATGTCTTTCAAAAGACCTAATTTTTCAAAAGGAACAAATACTATGTATTTCAAAATTGATTTCACACCACCTAATCTTCAGCACGAATAAAACACAATAATTAAAACTAAAAATACATGGAAATCCGAATAAAGGGATGAAGGAATGAAAATTAAAAATTGAAGGAGAAGAGAAAATGATTAGCCACATCGATGAAGGAGGCGGAGATAACCTGATGATTGCTGCTGCTGATCGGCTCAGATCGTGGGAGAAGGCCAGAGGACGCATGATGGCGGGCGACTGAAGGAGAACGTGCGGCCGAGCGCAAGAAGAGTACGTGCGGCCTAGGGAGTGCCGTAATTTTTAATGAGAAAAAGAAAAAAGGTTAAAGGGCATGATAGGAAAAGATTGACCCCAAAAAAGTGCTAAATTTGTTAAAAACAATGAGTAGTGCTAGATGCGTCATTTAGGGTGAGTTAGAGTGCTATGTAGGGTGATTTCTTTTATTTTAATCATACAAATACTAATATTTAATTTCAGTACTACCCATTTATTTCAATTATATTTAGTACTCCCTCCATCGTTCGTCCCCTTGTTTTTGTCTACATTTGACTTTTGGAACTGTTTATTTAAGCACTTTGACTCATCAAATTCTCTCAATGTGTAAGCCTAAATATGGTCATGTGTGATCTTGTTTGATTTGTCTTAATATATAGATTATTAATATATAATTTCTATAATTTTTTAATATACAAATTACAAGATAAAATGAAAGTGGACAAATACAGGGGCGGAGGAAGTATTATGGATGGGAAACACCCTTAATCTCGTTGTCTCGTTTCAAAACATACTATTTCCGTCTCTGCGTCAATTTTCTTTAGGACACCAAAATTGTGTCTTCAATTGAATGTGTGCCAATTTGAAACGAGTGTCCAGAATACCCTTCTTTAAGTAATGGTTTGGTTAGATAGGTCTGGTGTAGTAAATAAAATGTGATAATGGTAAAATAATGAGTTTATTTTTAATTATTTGTTAAGTAAGAAATGTTGGCACACCCATTGGATGTGCTTAAGAAAAAATGGACAAACTCTTCGAAAATTGTCATATTCCATAGTGGTAACCTTTTTTACACACATACACATATGTATGTCTCTAACATTGAATAATAATCTAAGAGACTTGTGGAGTTGTAGTAGGCATGGACGCTATTTTGATTCATAATTGCCAATTTTGGAATTCGAGTAGAACTCAATCAGTGGGAAGGGGAGAGTCGGGTGTCTTATCAGATGTTGGGAAAGGATGGACATAAATAAGTGTTGTGCTCCTTTCCCTCTTGAAAGAATAGGTGAGGAGCAACAAACAAAATATTCCAAAGAACAACTCCAAGCAATGACCATGATGATCAAAACACGAAAGGAAATGATAGAAGGCACAAGATTTTGACGTGGAAACCTCTTTCAACGTGAAAGAGTATAAATCACGAGATCCTTAAGTGTAACCAACTCTACTAAAACCAAATTAAGAGTATAAGTACATAATACAACACAACACCACAACAATATTTAGCTCTTAACAACTTTATGAAGGCATTATAGATTCAAAATAGAGACACAAAGATGCAAGAACATCAACAAAAATAACAGTCTAACTCGAAGCTCATAACCCAAGATCTAACTGTTGGAATTGGATTTCCACCATTCAAATTGAAGATTCACAAGTATTATGGCTCTTCCTAAAATAAAAGCTCGATCGGACGGGGTCTGAGTCTTTGGTCAAAATGAAAACAAGACATGTGTTTCGGCGATTGAAGGAGCGACTACTCCCTCTTCTATGCTATTTTGTGCTTGTGAATAATACAAAGTACTCTCAAGGATGACTGCCTTATTTTACTTTTATATGTGGACAAGATAGGCTTGAGGATTTATCCTCCAAAATGAGCCTTTTAATTCACATAGTAATTAGAATCTCAACACAATAACCGGAGGTATAAGTTTTTTTTACAATATTTATATAGTATTATTTAGTCGTATATTTGGAGTAATATTTAAACATGGAGTAAAATTTTATACTCCCTGTGTTTGTCATAGATATTCATAACTTGATTTTTAATAGTTTCTAAATAATGTTTAAAAAAGTTAGCATTTCACTAAAATACCCATAAAGAAATTAGGTAGAGTATATCAAATGAGGTGGTGAGATGTAATAAATAAAGTAAGCATATATAGATTTGGTATTTTAAAGTTTAATGAGAAGATCTTTACGAACAAATAAAGAGGACATTTAGAAAAATATATGGCGGGCGAAGGAAGTATATAGATTATAATTTATAATATACACTCCTTATAACTTAAGTAGAGATTATAAAGCTAGTATTTATACTTTCATCATAAAAACAGCGGCATATCTTGAAAAAAAATTATGATTAGGGACATCTTTAAGAAAGAATATGAGGAAGAGTCTAGGGGCAGTACCCCTATAAAGATGCTTTGAAAGACAATTTGAAGTGAAAAAATAAATTTCATATTATATAAGTATTCAAGTAATTATAATGAATATTCTAAAAGTGTAAAAATATTGTTTACAAAGAATATAACATGACTTAATATAAGTATCATATTTCAAACACTTACTTTCAAACTTCATTTAAACAATTTGTTTTACTTTTGGATGACAATTTTTCGGTCCAAGGCCACACTTTTTCAACCGTAACATTGATAATGTAGCTCAGATATATTCTAACTAATTTGCATGTTACTACACTACCACTCGTTCTCTACTTGTGGTAGTTAGCCATCTACCTTGCAAAGAATCTTGTTTTCCATATATAAGAAAATAAAACATGTAGGAATTTACTCCCACTTTTTTTTTTGTGAAGAAGTCATTGATGGGTCTCTTACGATTGATCATGTCTCATCCGAATTTGGCTTGGAGTCTTTCTGATGAAACCTTTGACATCACAATATTTTTAGTTGCTTATTCAAATGCTTTCTCTTGCTAGAGCCAGACTCAATTTGAGCATGGATGATTAGAAATGAGCACATGTGATGTGAATCAAGAAGGCTTGATTTACGACATAGGATCATGGGAATATTTAGAGGAAGAACCATGGAATGCCACGATGATCGATCGTCGTGGTCTTTTTTATGAGTATCTTTTCATATTTAGTCACTTTTGTTTACTTTCTGTCATATTGGGGTTCAATTAATGGTGAAAAGTATAATTTTACAATGATCATATATCCTTTTTGTCATAGTCACTACTGATATGCCGTTTGTCAACTAGAGTCGCAGTCTACAACAATCCGTGGTCATAATCATAGTTCATAACCAAAGTCATTATTGTTGGGTTGTCTGACACCAAAATACATCATTGGATATGAAATCAATTTCTAATTTTTTTTAGCCCCCAAAATAATAGTAACATGATAGAAGGTTAAAAAAGACTAAGGCCCCATTCCATTTAACTTATTTTTTCTTATTCTTATTAAAATCAGATCAGACCAAATCAGATCAGATCGAATCAGATCCGATCAGATCAGATCCGATCAGATCAGATCCCATCAAGAATTATTATTATTATTCTTATTATTATTATTATTATTCTTAAAAATGAAAAAGAATAAACTTTAGAAACAAGTTAAATAGAAAATTGAGAAAGTAATCCTTAATTATTAGACGTCGGAAAAATTATTTTTAAACTACATTGACAATGTCAATCTAATTTTTAGTTTTAGAATACATTTTTATTGCTACCTGTAATTTGAGTTTCTAAAGTTTTGATATTTTGTAAGGATGAGATATTTTAATAAAAAATACTATCTCTTATATATATTGATTATCTAAATTTAATTACTTTTTAATGTATACATAAATTAAATATTTATTCTAACGTATATATGAAGTAATTATTAAAATATTAAATTAATATTCTAATTTCACAAAAAAATAATCATAAAATAAAAAATATTATTACATTATACTCCCTCCATGCCAGAGTATTTGTCCACTTTCATTTTTACACACCATCCAATGCACTTCTTTAATCCATTTTATCTTGTAATTTGTATATTAAAAAATTATAGAAATTATATATTAATAATCTATATGTTAAGACAAATCAAACAAGATCACACATGACTAGATTTAAGCTTACACATTGAGAGAATTTGATGAGTCAAAGTGCTTAGATGAACATTTCAAAAATCAAAAGTGGACAAAAACTGGGGGACGAAGCGAGTAATATTAATGATTATTCTAATATATGAATTAACTAATTTTATTTTATTAAAAAATATTTATAAAATAAAAAATATTGATTATATTAAAATATGAATTATCACTACAATTTTCAAACGTTATTATAAAGTCAAATCAAATTATGGATTTGAAATCAGATCAGATCCAATCACATCAGATCAGATTAGAACTTATTAGAATCATATCAGATTAGAAAAATAAGTTGAACGGAACGGAGCCTAAGTACAAAAAGGTACTAATAAAAGAAGGATCATAGACATAAAATTTGATAGTAGATGACTAGATATAGAAATCACTCTGTTGTGAAGGATGAGTTATAGAATTTACTCTAGAAAAATATGAAAAAAGCTCAATAAAAAGTGAGTAATAAAAATGAGTGATTAATAAAAAAGAGTGAGAATCGTATAAAAAACATTCCGTACTTGTAAATTAGTTGAGAAATGCTTGGTTCACAAACACAATCATCACAAAATTCACAAACTTACTATTTGTGAACTTTGATAAAAAAATTTAAATGGTCTAAAACAATTTTAAATTGAGAATTTAAACCATAAATAGTAAGTTTGTGGAGTTTGTGATCATTCTGTTTGTGAACGTAGCATTGCTCAAATTAATTTTAAAGTATTACTTTATCTAATTAATATACATGTAAATTTTATTTAATCATAGGTCAAAAATCAATTTTGATTGATTGCAAAAAGTCAAAACTGCATAAAAAGAGTACTTTATCATCTAGAAATTGGTTACAATTTTATTTTTTCACCACTTGATAACTTTTGTTTATTTATTCATTTTCATTAATCATTTAATAAAATAAAATATTCTTGTCACATACTTCCTCCGTCCCTGAAAACCTTTATCTTTTTTTTTCATCCGTCCCAAAAAACATTTCTCATTTATATTTAAAAGTCACTTTTACCCCTTACTTTTTCATACCCTACCTATCACATCATACATTTTTACTAATAATATATCCATCAAATCATACTTTTACCCATCACATCAAAGGACATTTTTGAAAATTCAATACCAAAATACACTCTCCTTAAATTCTTTTTCAAAATCAAAACTCCCATGTTTTCCGGGACGGAGGGAGTATTATTTTGTAGAACTTTTGACAAACGAAGTAAGGAGTAATTTTTTAATTTGTAAATTTTTTTTTAATAGATGTATTGATTTACAAATAAAATAATAAATCAAACATAGAATTTTGCATCTTAAGCCCAAGGGTGAAAAGTGAAAGCCACACTACATCAAATAAAACATCAAATCAAACATTAAACAGGTCCTAAATGTGTTGATGCAAAGGTAATTGGGGCCTGAAAGTCATCATCATCCATCAATCTTCAACTAGAAGAAGGCATCCATCCTTGCAGAAGAAAGAAGGAGAGAAACTGTGGGGAATTTTATCTTTTTTCTTTCCCTTCTTCCAATAGTTTTGCTTTTCTGTTCTGCATTTTATTTTTATTTGTTTAAACCCAAAAATTGTTCCCCTCTCTCTCGTTCTTCGTGCCGTCGATCTCTGCATCCGTCCCTTTCACTGTTTTTTTTACAGAGAAACAATTGCGGTAATGAATTCATATCCATTTTTGTTTTGCGTTCTACTTTCGTGTTAGGCACAATTATTACAGGAAACCTATCAGGAGTAATGAACTCAGACACTACTGTCCCCAGATCTTCTTCCATTTCAGATCTGACATTATTATTTTTCATCATGATTTCGTTTTCTGTGCGTTGAAGGCTCTTCAATTCCCACATATTTTCTTTTCACCAATTCGGGGTTTCACAGGCTGGAATTCGGCCATATTTCGTTGATTTGGGTCTGTTTTTCTTCCTGGAAATATGCAATGATACCACCTCTGTGGTTCTCTTTTTGTCGTTTTGTGATCATGTCGCGCCCAGGCAATGATTTCTCCTGATGGGATTTTGGGGGTTTCTGCATTTCAGTTGTGGTGGATGGAGTATTTGGTCAGTTGCCCCTTTAATTTTGTTGCTTGGCGGAGGAAAGCTTTATCTTGTCTGCCTTGACCAGAAGCTGTAAACTTGCTGCATTTCTTCTCATAAATTTCTGTTCCTCACTCTGGGCTGGAAGGTCAACAGGGGAAAGTGTAAGCCTTTATTGCTCTATTTTATTTTTCATTTCCATTTTTCAATGTTTACTAGATGTTCGTTGGGATTGATAGAAATTGGTTTATTTCTTGGGATTTTGCAAATCATGCAGCCTTGCAATCTGGAGGATCAACTTTAGGCACAATTTAATCTGCGATTTTAGAAGGAACTCTGCATTTAGAAAGGATTGGCGAGGATAAAAGTGCAGTCGCCTGTGATTTGCTTGTTCTCACTTGTTCAACGACAAAGATAATCAAAGATTAGATTTTGGAGAAACAGGCTTTAGTTTGCTGGGCCCACCAAAGGTAGGGGACTTGGGACTAGGGATACTCTTTAGAAAGATTAATTTTGTGTAGGTTTCATCTAAACCCTCCAATGTATATCTATTGGAGGGCTTCCTATGTCGTCCAGCAAACCATTGCTGTCTTCAACTGATCTTCAGCTTGTGCCAAATGTTCATCCCACTAATTCCTCATCTGGAATCAGCTCATCAGAACCAGAAATTATAAGCGGCAATGCTTCATTGTCTTCCTCAAATTCTGACAAGAAACATGAGAGTGAATTTGATGACGTGAAGGGCAGTGTAGAGGGCTGCATTGCCCCCCACGGTGCTATTGCTGCTTCTATTACGAAGAAAAAACAATTCCATTCTGCTGAGCTTCACTCCCATGTAAAGTATATGTCAGAATGCACCTCTTGTGAGAGAAAACGTCTTGTATCGTGGGGTGGTGTGATGGACCATCGTGACATTGCTGCCTTCAATGTTTCCAGTGATCCATCTCTGGCTGCCTCATCTCAGGAAGCTTCCTCTCAGGTGACTTTCTCCCGTGTCCAGGAAAAGCTTAGCAAATCTCAGAGGCATCTTCAAAAAAGTATGCAATTAGAAGATAACTTGTTATACGTACCAAGGTTGATTCATATTAATGATCCGAAGAGGACAAATGATAAGTTTGAGTTCACTGGAAACGAGATACGGACCAGCAAGTATACTGCACTTAGTTTCTTGCCAAAGAACCTATTCATCCAATTTCATCGAGTTGCTTATTTATATTTTCTAGCTATTGCTGCTCTAAACCAGCTCCCGCCACTGGCTGTTTTTGGTAGAACAGTGTCCCTTTTGCCTCTTCTCTTTGTGCTTTCGGTGACTGCTATAAAAGATGGTTATGAGGATTGGCGAAGACACAGATCAGACCGGAATGAGAACAACCGGGAAGCTTTAGTCCTTCAATCAGGTGAATTCAGGTTGAAAAAATGGAAGAACATCCGTGCTGGTGAGGTTGTAAAGATCAATGCCAACGAGACAATTCCTTGTGATATTGTGCTTTTGGGGACGAGTGATCTTAGTGGAATTGCTTACATACAAACCATGAACTTAGATGGTGAATCAAACTTGAAAACAAGGTATGCTAGGCAAGAAACAACTTCATTAGTACATGAAGGGGCAGAATATTTTGGAGTTATCAGATGTGAACAACCCAACAGGAATATCTATGAGTTCACTGCCAATTTGGAGTTGAAAGGAAAAAGGGTTTCTCTCAGCCAATCAAATATAATCTTGCGTGGCTGCCAACTGAAGAATACAGAATGGGCAATTGGTGTGGTGGTTTATGCTGGACAGGAGACCAAAGCTATGCTGAACAGTGCAGCATCTCCATCTAAAAGGAGCAGACTCGAAGCATACATGAATAGAGAAACCCTTTGGTTGTCTGTTTTTCTTCTCACAATGTGCCTTGTTGTCGCAATTGGAATGGGTCTTTGGCTAAAACGCCACAAGGGGCAGCTTGATACTTTGCCATATTACAGGAGAACATACATCGGAAAAGGGAATACTGAACGGAGATTGTATAAATATTATGGGATACCCATGGAAACCTTTTTCTCTTTTTTGAGTTCCATCATAGTTTTCCAGATAATGATACCAATATCTCTATATATCACCATGGAGTTAGTTCGTCTGGGACAGTCATATTTCATGATTGGGGACAAGCATATGTATGACTGTGGCTCTAATTCAAGGTTTCAGTGTAGATCCCTGAATATCAACGAGGATTTGGGTCAGATACGTTTTGTGTTTTCTGACAAAACGGGAACATTAACAGAAAACGAGATGGAATTCAAAAGAGCAAGTATATGGGGAAGAAACTATGCAGGTTCCCTTTCTGTTGCTAATAACATTGGAGGTAATGACGAAAAATTCATGCATTACTGCAAATTCTACCTTTTTTTTATTTATGAACTCAAATTCAATCACTATTTTGATCTGGCACTGTAAAGGTGACCAACTATATTTAATACTGAGTATGTTTGAAGTTAAAGAAGCAATATTTAAATTTTACGGAATATAAGCTTTTTTGGACCTAAAAGTTAATCTTTGGCTTGTGGCAAGTTTGTTTCTCTATAAAATGAAATGGATATATGGATCCCAAATCGAACATCATTACATTTTAGAAATCTAAAATACTAAAGTTCTTCCTTGCTATTTTGTATGTCCTACTTCCCCTTTTAGCCTGTCCCACAATTATATCTAACATCCTAATTTTAGCACCACTATCCTTTGACCTTTTCCACTTCTCCCTTTTTCTCTCGTACGTCTTGAAACAATTTTTCCCACTTGAAGTGCAATTTTAGAAGGTGAATTGCATTTTACTTGTTATCATTAAGTCCGTGCAAAAAGCAAAATAGTCATGTAATTTGGGACTGAGGGCATAGTATACAAGACATGTACTGAATGAATCATGTTCAATGCCCATGTGTTTTATTTGTCATCTAGATGTTGTATGTAAAATATTTAAAGAAAGGACAATTACATAATCTTACATCCCATATCCCCAAATAAGTGTCCTAGTTTGACTTCATGGAGTTTAAGAGAAGTGTTGAACTGTAAAAAAAGTGTGTTTGGAATTTGTTTAGTTGAGAGAAATATTGTGAGCTACATATTGCTTTCCTTGAAGGGAAATTGCAGAAATGCAAAATTTAATATGGGATGGATGGGAAAGGAAAGTGTGAATTTAATTTGGGGACGGAGAGAATATTTTGTATTTATTCACAACATTTTCTCTCTTTATCATATGCATATCAGCAGATAAGCAAACACTCACCTGCTACTGAACATGTGCAGTAAAACCATCATCACAAGTTTGCAATAGAAGATGGAAGCTTAAGTCAGATATTGCCACGGATTTTGAACTCATGGATTTGCTGTGTAGCGATTTAGCTGGTCAAGAAAGAATTGCTGCACATGAATTCTTTCTGACATTGGCAGCATGCAATACTGTCATTCCCATTGTTAATCCCAGCCCATCAAGTGAAACGGAGAATGAGCTAAGTAGTAATGTTGGCGGAGTTGAATATCAGGGTGAATCTCCCGATGAACAGGCACTAGCTGCTGCTGCCTCTGCTTATGGCTATACACTTTTTGAGCGGACTTCAGGGCACATTTCAATTGATGTCAATGGCAAGAAACTAAGGTATATAGGCATCTCAATTCTACCTGGATTTCAATTCAATTTACCCTCCCAGTCATCTCACTTGAACCTTTATTGTTATTTAATTCCCCTTTCCCCCTCTGAAAGCACATGCAACTTATGCTTTAATAAACACATCCTACATTTAAAAAAAAATACTTTTGATGCATTTTTTCTTTACTAATGCTCTGTTATGGAACTATTACCCTGAATGCTGTATAAAGTAAGGAGTTTCCGTAACAATGCATCATCCAGGCTTGACATCGAAAGTATATATAATTCTCAGCAACACCGTCACCCCTTATCCCTATCAAAAAAGTCATTTTATATTGTGTACTAATATTATTTTTACCGTTGTTGATGCTATTGTAGGTTGGATGTGTTGGGACTTCATGAGTTTGACAGTGTTCGTAAAAGAATGTCTGTTGTTATCCGATTCCCAAACAATAGTGTAAAAGTCTTGGTGAAAGGAGCTGATACGTCAATGTTTAGCATTTTAAAGAACAACAATGAAGGGGATGACAACATTAGTAATGCCACTCAGAATCATTTGAAAGAGTATTCTTCAGAAGGTCTACGCACACTTGTAGTTGCTGCCAGGGATCTTACAGGTGAAGAACTCAAAGAGTGGCAATGCTTGTATGAAGATGCCAGCACATCACTGACAGATAGGTCTGCAAAATTACGGCAAACAGCAGCACTAATTGAATGCAACTTATGTCTACTTGGGGCAACTGCAATAGAGGACAAGCTACAAGATGGTGTACCTGAAGCTATTGAATCTTTGCGACAAGCAGGAATTAAAGTGTGGGTTCTTACTGGCGATAAACAAGAAACAGCAATTTCTATTGCCCTTTCGTGCAAACTCTTGACGTCAGACATGCATAAGATCATAATTAATGGCAATTCTGAAGATGAATGCAAAAGGCTATTGTCTGATGCTAAGGCTAAATATGGTGTGAAGTCTTCTTGCTGCAATAATTGGATCTTGAAATGGAAGAAGGACACAGAAGTTTGTTACACTGAAGTTTCTCCAGATGCAATGTTGTTGGACCTGCCGGCGGAACACACAGAACAGGAAGGAGGACCTCAACCATTAGCACTCATTATTGATGGGAATAGTCTGGTTTATATATTAGAGAAAGAGCTCGAGCCTGAGGTATGAAAATGTTCTCTTCTTTTTAGTCCATGTAAGTTTTTTTTGTTTAAGTCATCCTTACAAATTTTGTCTTTGAAAATGGTTCTTAAACGTAATTAAGACTTCTAATTTGTTGAGATAGCACACTTATTTCATACTCAACATCCTAGTCTTGCATTTCTAATCACCTCAGACACAATTTCCATGCCCTAAATTGTGTTCCTCATTGAATTACATCTTTACTTACCAAATTTTATTATATTATATTCCCAAGAAATTTGGAAGTGGGAGACGTAATATGAATAAGGGTATTATTTAGGGAATGAGAATTGTGTCGGAGGTAATTAGAAATGCAAGACTAGGATGTTGAATATGAAATAAATGTGTTATCTCAACTAATTAGAAGTTCTAATTACGTTTAAGTACTATTATCAAATTAATTTTTTTGCAAGGACGACTTCAACAATTTTTTTACAGGAACCAACAATAAAATTTGCCTATTTTCTAGGGACTAAAAACATTTTTAACTTTTGAATTTAAATTTGAACCTAGTAAATAGTACGCTATATATCTAAGGCTTGCTTTTGCCACCATTGATTTCTTGCCCAGATATAAAATGCAATTTTCCTCAAGGCCTACAATCACATTTGTTTTGTATGGTGTCTAACTTTTTATGATTAATATTCTTCGACAGCTATTCGACCTTGCAATCTCATGTCAGGCAGTGCTTTGCTGCCGTGTTGCACCTCTGCAAAAGGCTGGAGTGGTCAATTTAATAAAGACTCGCACAGATGATATGACCTTAGCCATTGGTGATGGTACGTGTATGATGTTATCTGTTAACATTTTGCTCTTTAGCTAGAATTTGAAAGTCAGTTTCCATTTCTATTTCAACATGAATATCTTGGATTTTCATGCCGGGTCTGTTGCTTATGTGATTTCAATTTTTAAAAATTCTTAGGTTTCACACAATGTTGCAAAATACTTAAGGTTCTAGTCGGGCTCTGTATGGTGCCTAGCCCACCTAGTTGGGCACCTAACCCAGAAAACCACTTAGGGCACCTAGCTGGCTGCCTATGCCAATGTTTAGAGTAGAAAGTTTATGACAAATTATCATGTTCTCATTGCGGTGTGCATCAGGGCCTGACATGATTTTTTTTCCTGCAGGAGCTAATGATGTTTCAATGATCCAAATGGCCGATGTTGGTGTTGGAATATGTGGTCAGGAAGGGCGTCAAGCTGTAATGGCATCTGATTTTGCTATGGGACAGTTTCACTTTCTCAAAAGATTGCTTTTGGTACATGGACATTGGAATTATCATCGAATTGGTTACTTGGTTCTATATAACTTTTATCGGAATGCTGTTTTTGTGTTTATGCTTTTCTGGTAAAATTTCTTCATCTTTTATATTTGTGTTTTTGCATTAACTTTTTATTTTGCATTGACACAATCAAAACTACCAAAGTGATTATACATATTATTGGGGCAATTTTACTCTTCTGCTCGATATGTTCTGTTTCTTGCATGGTCAAGACCTCTAAGCTTTTACAATCATGATGAAGTGTTGCTGGGTTACTTACTGCTAAAGCCACCTCTTGATCATGCTTTATATTTTTTGTCATCTTTGATCCGAGTTAGCTTATCCCGAATCCTTTTCGAGTAATATTTTTATCGTTTTGTTTCATATAGGTACATTTTGTTCACTGCTTTCTCAACAACGTCAGCACTTACTGATTTGAGCAGTGTTTTTTATTCTGTACTTTACACTTCAGTACCTACCATCATTGTTGGTATTTTGGACAAGGATTTAAGTCATAGGACGCTTCTCAAGTATCCAAAACTATATTCTTCTGGTCATAGACAGGAAAGTTACAACATGCACCTGTTCTGGATAACAATGATAGATACAGTATGGCAAAGTCTTGTTCTTTTCTATGTACCCCTGTTGGTATATAAGAAGAGTACAATTGATATCTGGAGTCTAGGTAGCTTATGGACAATTGCAGTGGTGATACTTGTCAATGTACATTTGGCAATGGATGTTCAGCGCTGGTTGGTATATACCCATATCGCCATATGGGGGTCAATAGTTATCACATATGGCTGCCTGGTAGTAGTGGACTCTATTGTAATCTTCCCAAATTATGGGTTAGTCCTTCCCTATCATGGTTATAAAATGTCTCAGTATGCAAATCTACATTTAAGACTTGTTCGTTTAGCTCATGAAATTGACTATTTCTCTTTATCTTATGCAGAACAATATACCAGCTCATAAAGTTGCCTAGTTACTGGCTCACAATTTTCCTTATAATAGTTGTGGCATTGCTTCCTCGCTTTATGTTTAAGGTTATACAACAAACATTCTGGCCTTCAGATATACAGATAGCTAGAGAAGCAGAGATACTGAATAAGGGACTTGGTCATTTTGTGTCTAAGCCAAATCATGATAAACGTTGATGTGCTGACATGTGCTGCCTTTTAATGGCGATCAACCCTAATTATATACTGGCTGCACATAATTGCTGGTCCTTGGCTTTCTCCTGTATTTCAATGTATATACTAACTGGTAAGGCACTTATATTCTTCTGTAATCATAGTTCCCACTTGTTCTTTTGCGAAGCGAAGTAAATTGAATCTTGCCATATCTTTGCTTAACTGAAGATGAAATAGTTGATCTCAGACCTTGTCTTTCTATGTTTTGTTTTCTAAAATGGTACACATAGAAAGCCATTCACGTGTCCATTTTGTTATCTCCATCCATAGTGAAACCTAGGATCGTTCTTTTTATCATTTTATTATAGTAATAAATCTAATACCAAGTATCTGGTCTAAAAATCCCTGTCATGTCCTTGCAGAGGTGTTAGGCTTCCCTTGATTTTTAAAATTCATTCCACCTAATCCCGCCCAACCTCGCTTAGCACTAGTTTCCAATAACTTTACTCAAATAACTATACATTTAAGGGAAACTGTGCTGTTAAGATGAAATTTAATTGTCATAAATTGACAAACATACCGTTATTGATTTCTATGTATTAGAAGTAACAAGCAAATGGAAAATATTTAAAAAATATGGGAGGACAACGTAGTCATTGTACTATGATATACTCTTTGTGGTTTTGCTGAGTGAGCACAATACCTCTAGTTTTATTTGAGAGTGGATGAAGTACTGAGTGTTCATTTTTTTTGTTCATAGATTTGTGGAGGGACCCAAACTCCCGAGTGAATCAATTGCATTGCCCACTAATTTGCCACTTTCTTTCTAGGAATTAGCTTGAGTGGATGGTCTCCAATTTTTCAATGCTTAGCATAAATGTTATGATTCTTATCCACCAAATGGGTTTGTCATTTGTGGGTTTGAATGATGGCATTAGTAATTGAAAAGTAACTGGTTGAGAATGGGTTCAGCTAAACTCTGCTCTTTTAATATTTACTAAGAGTTGCTGTTTCACTAGCCCTTTTGCTGTTTCTTGATTCTTTGAACTCCTATTGATCCTTTTTCTGAAAATTCAATCAAACACCCTTTGACCTTTTGTTCTGTTGATTTTACAGAGAAATTGAGGCTATACCATTTTTGTGCTGAGTATCATCACTGTTGTTTCTCAATGCTTCAGATTTTCATACCCAGAGTTGCTCGCCGGGGGGATAGCCGGCCACGGATTTTGATGAGGAGGTTAAGTTGAATGCCGCAAGCGAAACCAATGGCTGGCTGCTTATTGTGTTGTAATAGTCTCTACCACATTTATTTCTTGGCATAATTGAAAGAAAAAAAAGTAGATTTGAGAAAGAGATACAAATGTACATTATGATATTGTAAAAAAAAATATACAGGTGATTATCCTAAGCATGTACAAGTGAACAAATAAAGTGTATTTTCATCAACTCTGTCTTGCCTTGCTTGTTTTGGCTGAAATCTTCTGTCACATTTTTCTCACCAATTATATTGGTGTGGCTCATTCATTTGTGGAGTGAATTAATCACCATTATTAAAATGCCAAAACAAATTAATCACTGGATGTAAACTTATTTTTGTTCCAAGAGAGAAATCCATTTTAAAAAATTGTCCAAAATAAGAGCAAAATATAGCCCTTGCATATTGACATTTCAAAATATTTTTATTTGGGTGGAAGGAGTATATGTCACGTACATTTCTTGTGTTGTAGCGCAATCTTTGTTCTTCATGAAGTTTAATTTTTTTTTTGTATCGATTTTATTTCAATTGGTTTATTTGTCTGAATTTTTTTTCTTTAAAAAAGGTTTTTCTTATTCTCAATAGAATTTGTTTAGTCCGTAGTTTGTTTTACCACAACCTCAATTTGAATTTAAATTTACATATTCAAAGATGATATTGTGTTTCGAACATAAATTTTTGTGTTACTTATGATTATTATCTGTATGTGCAAGGGTGGATTCACTAAGCTCATAATAGGGGTATTTGCCCCAATAAAATTTTTATTTTATTTAAATAATCTATTTAAATTACCCCAAAAAATTAATATTGCCCTTGATAGAAAAAAATAATTATATTTGCCCCCAATAAAAAGGAATGTCCAAGTAGAAAAGAAATTATTTAGTACAATAGTAAGTAAAATCAAAGGGGGGTGTTTTCGAGACTTTTTCATTAATTTTTGCAATGTTTGATTGAGATATCATTTAGTTTCTATAATTTTACATTGATTTTAAAAAGATCATGGGTGCTGCCCTTGAACCTCAGTTCTGTCCCCAGCCTCTCCATTTTTAGGATTCGACATTGTATATGTATTTGATGGGTGTATTTCACCCAAGACCGGTCAAAGGAGGAGGACAAATCTTTGACCGGTCAATCTCGAAAGTTTTGGAAGGGAGACTTTAATCGTCAGCAAAATGATATATCATCGGCCAAAATATGACCGGTACACTTCACAAAAAGTATACCGGTCAAACTACGTTGTCATCCTATTTGTTCCAGACTTCGATAACTTCATCCCTCGGAGATTACCCGGTGTAGTTTCTGGGGTTGGAAAGTGTCGGCAGGAGAGGATCTGCGAGGGTTTGGCGTGTAGCGACCCGTCTCAGTAGAGGACAACTGGAGATGCTGAAGAATCCATCCAAGGCACTACTTGACAAAGGGAATGATCCCCTTCACAAGGCGACAAGGCAGCTTGAGGACGAAACCAGTCACCTCGCACCACATCGGCAGCATGCCCCCACGTGGGCGCACGTGGTTCTGTCCCCTTAGCCTAGTATAAATACTCATGTAAACCTCAGAAAGAGGGATCCGAATTCACTCTCTCTAAACTCCCTTGTAAAAGCACCCGTGCATTCTCCGTTATAATATAAATTGGGCTACAGGTGTTCCACCTAAAGTCCTACCGGTCAATCTGCGTGTTTTTACCTTTCTTACTTTGCCAAATCAAGC